AGTTGCGAGGTATGAAATTGGAAGTTTATAAAGGGGTGTGGATTTTTCAATTCTATTTTTGTTGTGTTTTTAACAACAATGGTCTATTTTAGCGAATGGAAGATTTGTTTGATATTTTGCAATGGACTTGTATAGACCACCACTTTCGTGCTATAAACATCTTAGTAATTTTTTATTATCATGTGTGAATGAATTTATGTAAAATTTATATAATTTAGCATGAAAAAATTGATGAAAAAAAAGGAATGAAAAAAAGAAAATGTAATTTCGGGTTTTGTGTGTTTTTTTATGAATTTTTAGAACAGGTCCGCTCAAAAAGAACATTTTTGTTGTAGCAATGAAGGGAGTTTGTATATATAGAAAACTGTCCAACCCCTTGTTTTACTTCTTTCTTTACAGTGCTTTAGTTTTAGATGAAGGGATTGGAACTCCTCACGCTTTCCCGTCATTTTTTTAATCGAATATCAGGAAATTTTTAATAATGGAGGTTATCATCATTTTTTAGTTATGCATATAAGACAGTCAGTGGAGAATAGACAAATATCGATTCAAAATGGCTATGCTGGAGATTTAGTATTGATATTGATTGCCAGAATTTATCTTGTATGGGTAAGTAGGCCGCAACTCAATACAAAAAAAAGAAACAGTAAAAGAATTGAAAAATAGTTATTATATCATAAATGCAATTAAAACTTATTTCGCATTAAAAGTTCGGCCAATTATTGCCGGATTATATTACAGTCGAACAAAATCTGGAGGGGTTGGATAATTATTGGATTTGGTTTTTTGAGTTCTCCGATATTTCCTTCCCATATTACAGTTCCAAAACAAGAACAGGAAAAAGGATCCCAAAACAGAATATGTGTAAAACAAGAACTGGCGATAGATCTTCCACCTGAATATCACTCAAGAATTCACTGAGAACAAAACAGAATCGGACACATTGAATGACTTCATCGCCGATGAATTTTATTTACTTGTGACAATGCTTTCAAAAATAAGCAGAAAAATAATAAAAATAACTTAAGATTATGCTATACAAAAGGGGGTATTAACCTCTCCAATGAATTATCAATAACAACTTCCCATAAATAGAAAGATGTAAATTAAAGATTTTGATACTTCACGATACATAATACACTCAAGAACAAGTGCTTTGATGTATTTCTTTCATCTAGTTAATATGGAACTATCAAATAGAAAAGATGAAGAAAGACACATTCAAATCAGTGAAGTGTTATGAGACAAAACGTTATACTACCTATTATCGTCAATACACAGAAGATCTGACGAAGTCACAAATGAACAAAAATAACAAATAAATCTATTAGAAGTCGTCACGACTGTGGGTTGAACTTGTAGTTCTTGTCAGTCCCATCAAGCAGTTCCGACCTCTTGTTGTAGAGGTATCGGATATACCCACGACCACTCGGATGTTTCTTCTTTCCAGTATCTACAACTTCAACCTTCTTAGTCGCAGCGCGAACTTTGCCCGCTCGTGTTAAGCCTCCATGTACTTTTCCCATTGATTTGAATTATTTAGTTGGAGATTATATTTGAGCGACAAGACTCATTCTTTTGAGGCTTGTCTTTTTTTTGATTTTTGCATTGAATTTGTTTAAACTATATTGTAATAATAAATTAATTATTATAAAATATTGTTTTTTTTGTCCAATTCAAAAAAAGTTTAATAGGTTTTTATTATATATTATAATTAAGAAACTATAAAAAAAAATTATAATAAAATAAAAAAAAACAAATAACATTTTTTATTATTACAAATAAAAAATGTTATTTATTTTGTAAAAGATTTGTCAAAAAAATAAAACATAAAACACAAACAAACTGTTTCACTAATAAAAGTCGAGTGTTAGACAAAAATTCTTATGTTTTAAGGTTATTGATAAAGACAAGATGAATCACATTTAAAATATTTGTTTAATCATCATTGATATCAAACGTAAATAACTATTGAGAAAATTTGATTGAAAACATGTTATAATCGTGTGTTTTGAACTATTTAAAATATATGGATGTGATAGGTACTGTTTCTAAGTGATTGGAGTCATTGAATAAAACAAAGTAAACTCATATTAATAATATAGTAAAATTGAATTATAAAAATTATAATAAGTAGTTAAATTTCAGTTTATTTTAAATAACAGAACAAAGATGTGAAGCTTCTTAAAGTTGTCAACGATGAGAAATAACAAATAAGACAAATAATGTCCTCTACTATCGTTTTTACAAATATTTCAACAGTGTTACGGTTTTTTTATTTATAAATCTGCACCTTTTTTCAAATTATGGTAAAAGTTAACGGTTTAGAAACTGCATCTTCAATCACTTCACAATTTTTGATTTTTCTACACAAAATTTTCTTCTCGCTTTGCTAAAAATAAAACATGAATTGTATATGATGAAGTCACTTATTGAAGAATATTTAAAGAGTGAAGCAAAATGGAAGTACACAAAATAAAAACTTCTCCAATAGTTCTTTGTTTTTGTTCTCTGAGATATGAATAAAGCTTTTGACAAATATAAGAGTAAAATAGTGACAAAATACGACAATAGTAACTACCAAGTTTTTAAACATAATATCATTGTAATGATAAATGAATGATATTATTTATGTTAAGATTAATATAAATTGCTTTGAAATAAAAAAAATGCTTTTTGGGTTGTATTTAAACATTAATCGAGTTTAAAACAAATTCAGACGAATGAACTTCGGATCGGCACCACTTTCAATCACAACATTAAAGGAACGGGAAAGAAAAGAACACTTCACTTATCAACAATCATTATTAATTGCTCTTCTCAATCAACATGCAAAAGTGACTATAAAAAGACCCAAAAAATATTCTACACACACTTCTACAATCCCAATGTTGTTTTTAATAGAAGTGGAATCTTCAAAAATTGATGTTATTGCACTGGCAACAAAAAGGTGCGACTTGATTAAGAAGGATGAAACAGCAAAAGGTATTCCTGTTCAAACAGTGAAAAGACGATTCAACAAAAACGTGAGTGCTTTTCTGAGAAATTTTCTGTTTGATGCATGTTTTGAATTTGGCTTTTTCTTTGAATCAAAGATGTCGAAAAACTCAATGAAGTCGATACAAAGCGAGTATATCCAAAATATTTATTATAATGGATGTTTAATATACACCAAAGATAACATTTTGGATTTGGGGAAAAGAATTCATTGTGAATTAATGGAAAAATTGACTGACAAAAGAACAACTTCTTTTGAATTGGGGGAACTTAACACTAAGCTTGAAAATTATAACACGACCTCAAATGATACTTAAAGATGTTAATTTGTATTTTCGGTATGTCAGTTACGGGTTTACTTGTAAAAATTATAAATAGAGTTATAAAAAGATAATGTAAATCTCTTCAAAAGGTTTTCATTTTTTCTTGGTGTATTTTAAGAACAAAAATATCTAAACACGTTATTTTGCAATTTTTAACGTTTTTTTATATTTTGTTGATTATTTTTAGGCGTCGCCTTCTGAAGACTTGAAATAAAAATAGTGAAAATAAATCGAAAAAAAAAGTTGTTTGGGTATCAATTGAGACGTATATTAATTACAGAGTTTTTTGAAATGTAACTGTTGTTTAATTCTATCATAATTGTAAAACTTCAAATGGGTAATTTAACATACGAAACAAATCTTATTTTTAAATTATTTTTTTGTTATATTATAAACTGTATTGTGAAACTTTATAAAGTTATTGTGTTACAAATAAAGATCATTTGAAACACGAATAAAAAATAACAATATTAAATTACTACAATTTGTATTCTTATTTTACAATTATTATGTTAATAGTATAATCTATCATATGAAATTATGTTATAACCTCTGTTACTTATTTTATTTTGTTCGAATGTTAGTTGTTATTTTTATTATAGATTGTGACGCTTTTTGGTGGTTGTTTTGTGATTTATTATGTAATAATGAAATGTTTTATAAATAACAATATTCAATTCTGTAACACAATTGAATATAACTTCACAGATTTTTTTTAGGGTATCTGTATATGCGAAAAAAATAGTTACTTAATCTCAATAAGAAGTGAATCTAATACAACTATTTGTTGTTTTATTGATATTTTGAAACGTACTTTGATCATTTTAAAGTTAAGTGATAGTCTTCTCATGTTAAAAACTAATTAATATTATGTTAATAAACATCAAACATTTAAAAATGATTATCAATTAATTAAACAATACAAATTTTAAACTTTTAACTTTCAACTTTATTGAAAAATAATACTACAAAACGGTTTTTCGTTTTTATAATAAAATAATTGAATTTTTCAAAAAACAACTCAAAAAAAATTTCAAGTTTATCAATTTTTGAATTTTTAAGAATTTTTTTAATAATTTAAAATCGAACTATTTTATAAAAAGTATTGAAAAAAAATAATTTGTAATTAATAATTTTGAAAAATAAACTATAATTATTAACACCAATTAAACTTAAAAATTTAACACACAAGTCGTTTAGTTTCCATTGCGTTGCAACCGAAAAATCGAAAAATGAAAAATAAAAAAAACTTGCAAATCATGTCGAAAAATTTCGAGTGCGACAAAATGACTCCCGAGCCCGCCACTCCGCCGATCCCCAAAAGCGAAAGCGAAAATGAGACGGAGATTTCGTCGTTGAAAAAACTTCGAGAAAATTCGTTTGAAAGTTTTGAATTGTTAGAAAACCAACTTTTCCTCGAAGACTTAAAAGCTCAGAAAAAGAAGCGAGAAATCGTCTTGCGGCCTTCTGAGAAGGATTCATCGCCAACAAAAAGAATATCGTACATCCCGTTTAATTTATCGTCAAGTGAAAATTCGGAAATCGCAGAGGTGGAAAAAATCGACGAACCAAAAGTGACGAAAAAGTCGAAAACAAAACTTGCGAAGAAAAGTTTGAAAAAGTCGACAAAATTGAAAATTGAGAAAATCGAAAAAGCGGAAGAAGAACAGAGTGACAACGAAGAGGAGAGTTTTAACAACGAACAGCTCGAAGACGACGAAAATCGAGAAACAAAACAACCAAAGAAAAAAGTTGTCAAAAAACGATCAACGAAAAAAGTTGCGAAGTGTAAAAAGGCGACGAAAGACGAGTCGGACTCAACAAGTGATTGAAAATAAAGTTGAATAAAGTAATGGAGTGAATGGTATAATATTTTAATTGAAGAAGTGGAGTGATTGTTTCGTATTATTTTTATTCTATTGGCATTGATTTGTAGTGTTGTCGTGTGTTTGATAACTCTAAAATCTATTTATAGAAATACCACATGTGTATGACACTAAAAATAAAACACTTTGAAAAAGATATGAAAATGATCATCAAGTTAATGGTACTTAGACTGCCCAGTCGGGTGCTATGTTCGATCCACCGTACTCAAATTGACCATCACGTGTGGTCCCACAACTGATGCAATAATTTCCAGCTCGGCGTTTCTCCCCACTTTCATCGCGGCCACATGAGTTGCACTGACACTCTCCACAGCTTCTGCATCGTTGCCAACTTGTTACATGACAATAAGGACAACTGTATCCCATCTCTAACGTGTGTTTTTTAAAGTAATTTTTGGTATTTATTGTGAATCAGAAAGACTGTGAAACTGATATACTTCACCGTCTTTTTGAGGTGTTTTGAGAGTTGTATAACCCGATTGTACACACTCTTTTAAGCGATTACAAACATATAAATAACATGATTCAATGTTTTAATAAGTTTAATCTTCCAAATCATTCTAACAAAAACTTCTTGTAACAAATGGTGTTATTTTATTTTATTTTGAAATCATTTAAATGTTATATGCGATTAGTGATGTTTTCGATTAATTTCAATTGTTTTTATAATGATTATTAGAACTGTAGATGTTCAAAAATAATGCATCTTTTTGTTTTTGAACATATCATTGTTTAAAAACATTAAATGATGTGACTAATGAAGTAAATTAACATTTGAAAACAATCCATCAATTATTATTCATTAATTATATGTATAAATGTATTATTTCAATTTTCAAATGTTAATGTCAAAATTTAAATAACAAATTTTGTCCATTGAAACGTACTTAAGTAGCAAAGTTTATATATTGTAACAAACAATTGACAATTGTTTGTTGATAATTTTTTCATTTTATGTGAATTTTGACTTCTAATTGAATTGTTTTAATTAACTTATAAAATAATAAATTATAAATTATTTGTATTATATATTTAGTTTAAAATTATTATAATTTATAATACAATTGAAATTGAACAAAAAAACAAAATAATAAAAAATTATCAGAGTTTATATTTAAGAGTATTTAAAGTATTTTTCTATAAACAATATATCCAAAAATTTTGTTATACATACAAATGAGAAGTTATAATAAATTGTCAAGTTATTATTTAAACATTTCCTTTGACATTTATACAAAATATTGACTTCTATTGTTTAATTAAACGATTCACACAAAACTTCGAATATAATGTTTATATTGATTCTTGGATTTGTAGCATTTGCATTTTCGTTCTCGGATTTTAATGACCAGCCCTTTCAATTTGAAGATAGTGAAAAAATTAGTGATGAGGAACTTTTGTTGTTGCTGGTAACACAAGACCAAGGAAATGATTGGTTAAGAATTCTCCAACTTTTGATCGATAAATTGCGCCACTACCCACAATTGTCCGATTCAACTTTTGAAGAACACATCAAATTGATTATCGAAGGACAACAAATGTTGTTGAAAAAAATTGGTACAATTTTGAACAGAAAAGTGTTTGGCAATTCTGATATAAATGAGTTAATGGATCTACTTCGAACATCCGTAACTCAAGGGAGACATACAAGTAGATTATGGTTCTATTTGTATGGTGTACATGGGATGATGGAAAAATTAAGTAGAGCAGTTGGCATCAGAGAAAGTGTAAAAGCTCAGATGTACAATGAATTTGTTTTGCCAGTGACTTATTTCGAGAAACAACTTCAATTAATCGAAAAACTACTTAGAAAACCGTTGTTTAGACATAACAGGGAATATGAAAGAACAAGAGATGCCTTTTCATTATTTGTGAGGACTGGTCGTACTGCACAAGCGGAGTGGAGTAAAAATTTCGGAGCAACAGAGAACAAGGAAAAATTCAAACTTGAACACTTCAGTCTTACATTATACAGAAGGTCTCAAGATAGTAGGATTACCAGAAGAAGAAGAACAAGATCGTTGTCTGCAACAAAATAATTAAAGATTTAATTACAACATTGAACTGTTTTAAAAAATCCATCACATTTCGAAATGAAGTAAAAAATGATAATAATTAAACTCGTGTTAATAAACCAACTCAAAAATATTTTCTTGTAAACAAAATTACTTTTGTCTTCAAAATATTGTTGATAATATCACAAAAAAATGAAGATTTGATTGTATATTACTATTTGAATAGTTTTATATTGACTTAAAGTGATATTTATAACTTCTTTATAACAACAACGAGTCAAAACAAAGTTTTTTATTGTTAACATTATGTATATGATACTCCACTTTTTTTTGATCACATTCGTATTTTCATTTAAAGACCAACCCACTCGAAGACCAATCGAGCCCGGTTCTTCAGTAAGCGAGAAATTACTTTTACTGATGATGGTCACCCAACAACAAGGTGACCAATGGACAAGAATGCTCCATATTATTAATGCAAGAATGAACCGTTTCCCACAAGTAGCCAACCCTTCATTTCAGGGCTTATTAGAGAAAGTTCACGAAGAACAAGAGAGTCTTTTGAAATCATTGGATTTTATTATAGACAAAAAATTACTAACAAAAACTGGTCTTTATCAGTTGTGTGAATCGATCAGAGAAAGTATGGCTCGAGCTGAAGAAAAAACTGGACATTGGGCTTTACTTGAAGAAACATATGAAATGATGACTAAAGTAGTATATGCAAAAGGACTAAAAGGTAATTATCGAACGTCACTTCTCCATCAACTTGTACTTCCAAGATCATACTTTGAAAAGTTATTCAACTTTTTGACTAAAGTACGTGAAGAACCAATGTATAGTAGAGACCAAGAAATAAAAAATGCTCAAGACACTGTAGAAAGATACTTAAGCGCTATAGAAAGAGAGTCAATTCGATGGGGACAGGACTTTAATGTGATTGAGGACGCAGCTGAATTTGACCTTTACAAATTCAGTCTTGATAAATTAAGAGAAAAGGGAGATAGAAGAGCAATAAGAAGAAGAAACACAATACCAAAAGATGATGAAGAGCAACCCCAAGGTGGTGCTTCAGGTTGGGGAAGTGTTTGATATGTTATTTCGCTCTTTAAAAAACAATAAAACAACTTTTATCAATTTATGTTTATTCATTCATTAACATAAAAATAATACATTTAAAACAATTAAAAAAGTTGTTCCAAAAATAACAAAACAATTTGAATTTATTAATTATAGCTTTTTAGGGTCAAAAAAAATCGGAATATTCCCGAGGAATTGCGACAATTTATCTTTGTTTATTTTTTTTTCTCGTTTTTAATTTAACTTTATTAATATAAACTATATTATAA